TTCCATTCCCATTGGACACATTAGTTTTTTTGCTTGATATGTTGAAATAGGTAACTCGTTATCTTCAGGAAGCATATCATTCAAAAGCTTTAGAAGATTTGTGAAGCTTGTATCACTCCAACCATTGTTTGCTTTTAGGTTAAATAGTTTCAAAACAGCAGATAGTTTGGTATACTTTATACACCCAATATACAATGGTTTTTCCGAGTCGTCAAATAATTGTTGAAATTTTTCATAATCCTTTTCAGCAACATTGTCCTCCTAATCATGTAACATTCCAGATAAGTCATCGTACTTGTCATTGTTTGAATCATTGTTATCGTCATTAAACTCTGAAACAACCTATTACAATCAACCAATGTCTCCCCATGTCGTGACCAACATATATAATCTCTCATAAACCCATGAATTATTAAATGTTCTTGTACTTTGGCAGAATCAGTATACATACGAAAATTTTGACAATCTACACCAGGACACCATATGTAGCTTACTCATTTATTCACCCGATTTTCCTCTGCGGTTTTAAGAAACCCATCCAAACATGCCAAATATTTATTGCATGAACGTTTAATTCTATACATCCAGTAACTACGATCCATCTGTTATTACATAAAAGATATATGAATAACATGCATGTAGGATAACATATGCATTTAAAGGCATATGTAGTGTACATAAGACGAAGTTAATCATACAAAAATATAATCGAGTGCTTGAAAGTAATAAAAATACCTTGTATTTATTCGTTAGATAAGATGAAAGAATATATTTATTACGATTCAATAAGTTTCAATAAGTATTCCTATAATTCAAATATAATGGCGTAGATTTAAAAAAACAACATACTTAATTATAAAATACAAGGAGTTATTATGTAAACCAATATATTTTTCTATCCCTTTATAAAATTTTAAAATATTTTGTCATAAATTTTTAACGTTTGCATCAGTTAAAAATATACCACATTCTACATATAAAAATATACCATTTTCCATGCATAAGAATGTAAATAGTTTTCTAGAATTAAACAAATAAACTATTAATCATTATTGATGATATTTTGTAATATAATTGTTTTTATATGTTTATAAACTTGCTTAACGTTTGATGTTTTGTTATTATT